CCTTGTTCACCCTACCTCTGCAGATGTTATTTATTCTGCTAAACTATTAAAGTATTAAGTATTGAGTGAAATCGCCAACAGCAAGTGGCCAACATTTATAAACAATTTTTAAATGAATAAAAAAAACAGTTTTTAAGTTTGTAGATATTAACAGTAATTAGGGTACAATTACTGCCAAGCAGCACTCTGAATTTCTCATCATAATTAAATCTCAAAAGAATAAAATCTTCAGAGTTGTTGTAATCAGTCAGATCTGCGGTGGCGTTCACAATAATTTTATCATCTTTTTATATTATCGTTTTTCATTATCTCTTCCATTCCTCATCATGATAATGTCGTCAAGGATCATTAATAGAAGTTCTCATCCCCATCATTCACATCAGTAGCAGCAGCAGCAGCAGTGGCAGTGGCATCAACCCAACCACCATTGTGTTGTGTTGCGATCACTCCAACATCCAGAAATTTAATTAACTCCTCATTGTATCCAATCAATGCCTGTTAGTTTTCCGGCACATTTCTCCAGTTTAGCATCGTTTTTCCGACTCCACAGATAATAATTTTTATTATCAAAATTAACTTATTAATTTTTTCATCAACAATGTATTTATCACATTCCAAGAGTCATAAAAATAATCACTATCATGAGTTGGTGAGTTATCGTCGTCGTCGTCATCATCATCTTTGTCGTCATCATCATCATCTTTGCCTCGTCATCATCATCATCTTTGCCTCGTCATCATCATAAACTTTTTATTGAAAATAAAATATCATGGAAGAAAAAAGAGGAAACATCATCTAGCAAACAATTGAAGAACTTGCATCTCATTCAACTTGCGCCATCCAGCCATCAAAGCACAACACAACCTTAATTAACGCTCTTCTCTCTCCTTAATTAAATGTCGCTTTCCAAACAGCCACACCATATTGAGGCTTCACGTGTATTACATTACATTCTCAAGGCATGCACCAGCCCAACACACGCACACACACACACACACACATATACACACACAAACACACTCACGCACGCACGCATACACATACATAAACAAACAAGCACACACTTCCACATATACATACATACATACATACATACACACGCGCGCACACAACATTACATTTACACATACATACACACACAGACCCATACATACAAACACATACACACACAAACACATTTTATTTAAATTGGTGTATATCAGGAGTGGCCAATATCCTTGATGGTACGAGCCCTTTTTCGCAAGCCGCAATTAAATACGTGTTATAAAGACGTGCAAAAAAAGTAATTAAAAATTTTTTTACAGAATTTATTTTTTTCGCAAACATGTAAATTTATGTACAAAAATTTAAATATCGAAAATCAAAAACATTTATTTTACTTCTTTTAAAGACTCTTTAAAATTTGGTGAATTGGCAACACTGACTTCTCAGTGATTTTTTCAGATGCTAGTTAATTACATAGAAACAGCTTTATCTATTTCCTTATTGACGTTCACCAACATGTATCTTCAGTATCAAGGATTGTAGCAATATAATGATGAATAAGATGAACTCTAACTATCATCGTCATCTTTTGTAGTTTCACACGATAATGTCATGTTTGTTATCATCATTATTATCATCACCTAAAATTTAGGTCATCACTACCACCATCTTTACCACCATCATCACCATCGTCATAATCGTCATCATCATCACCATCATCGTCATCACCATCGCCATCATCATCACCATAAATAATAATGAGGACTTTGGGTCTTCAAACTTGATCGCGGGCACTTGAGCTTTTGTAATTAAATAACGTAAACAATCGTTACCATGGCAACGTTTCGCTAGAAGAAACAGTGATGGGCGAATTAATTCATTATTAATATTATTGTTGCTAGTATTATTAGTTATTATTTTGTACTGCACTGCTTGCATTGTCACTCATAACCGTGTAATTCTTGAGGAATAAAGAAACAAAGTGAACAAAAATATGTACGATCACATCAATTAGTCATTTTGGAAAGCTTATTTATACAAATTTTAAAAATGCCAAAAACAAACAGATGTGTAAATTTGAATGGAGGGAGAGTTCTTCAAAGGAGGAAGCAAGCTCCAGTCCACAGTCCAGTAAGTAAAGTACACACATCACAACACAACCATTGGACGATGACGATTTCTATATTTTCATATTTGATAGTATCAAAGACACCATAAAATGTTGAAACGCGAAACAACACATGAAGTGACAATAACAATGTAGACATTTTTGAAATAGTTCTACATTAACTTTGAAATGATAAAAAATAAGATAATGTATGCAATACCATCATCTTCGTAATGAAACCGACGATAGCTAGCACTCTTATGATATTGATGCATGTCTGATTGTGTTTGCTCGTGTGCAGTGATAATAAAATTACTTGCGTTTAAAGACAATTATGTTTGTTATTAGCGTATTAATGAGCGAACATCATGCAATCCTCCGCATCAACTCCCCTGACACGTCTGCCGTATCAATACCTTTTATTTATCTTTTGTATTTTAATTCACAAAACATGCACACACACACACACAAACACACACACACATGCGTATATAAAAATACAAGAGTGTGTGTGGGTGGGAATGTGAGTAGAATTCAAAAACACTTTTACACACGCGTGGCTAACTAACAACATGAAAATAAATGATTATAAATAAATAAAGATAAAAATGCACACACACGCGCGCACACACACACACACATACAGATTAGCAAACACCAAGCTACCACTACCATCAATTTTTTCCACAGTAATCAATCGTACGTTCCTTATTCAATGAAGCACATATTAAAAATTAATAATCCTATTTGTTCGCTAACGTGCATCGGTTCATCCGGCTAAAACAAACAAACAAACATATAAACAAACAAACACATAAATAAACAGTTGAACAAACAAACACAGTTGAACAAACAAACCATAAACAGACAGATGAACAAACAAACAAGCAAACAAATAGATGAACAAACACATTAACAAACAAATAAATAAACTAACAAGCAAGCATACAGATAAAAAAACAAACAAATTGATAAATAAAAACAAACGAACGAACGACAAACAAATAAAAACCTTACATTTCATGACAGGCTTATATAAAGAGAACATCGTTCAAGCAAATCAGAAAATCTATTTTGTGTATACACGTATGCATCTACTTATGTAATGTATTTGTACACACAAAATATATCAACGCTAATTTATTTGTAGGCTTATGAATGCGTATACATATACATTTCCTTATGTATTTTTTAGTTGTACATGTACGTGTTTGTGAGTGTGTTCACGTGTTTGCGTTTAAGCGCGCCTTTGAAATTAGCAGTGTATCCGACCAAAGGAATGGTGGAATGCATGGAATCTTGCATGGGTCAATGGATTTAGTGAAGGGCGTGAAATTAATGCCTGAATTTTAAATCTACATCGTACTTGATGGGAAAAAACTAGAAGGATGGCGTTAAATTAAAAGGAAGTGAAATAAAATCATTTGAAATATTTCGGCAATTAAAGTTTGCCCCAAATAAATTAATGCTGCCTTTAAAATTTATTTCCGACTTCATTTATTTTGTCCGGATTGAATAATTATATTCTCATTACAATCTAAATGTTCCAAATATATAACTTTTAAGAAAAAATTTTATTATGTATGAACCCAATCGTGCAACTAATTTTTAAACACTCAACTTTCTTTTCAGTGCTGTCCGTGGTCACTTGGTAGTTATGATAATGTGTTTATAATAACTGTCGCAAGTCAAAGCACATGTTTTTAACGTAATAAAATGTGTATTGCACTAAATTTTTGTAATTTATTTATTAAATAGAACTCGTGTCTGTCAATAATATAAAAGTGTTTCTTTAAAATTGTCTTGCTATATTTAATAACCAATAACTTCATTTAGTTTTTTAATTTTTCCACTGGGTTTTGCACAGGCAGCCTATGAACCTCGTCCATGTTCTGTTCAATCATAACGCAAAGCAGCCCGTTGCGCGTGAAGCTACCATCTGATTTTAATTTTTTTCACCAGAGAGAAAAGTTCTTGCGGCAAGAATCTTTTCGTTGTATTCGAACCCGTTAACTGGACGCACTAAGAGACAGCAGCAGGCCATCACGAAGGGAGAGCAATTATAAATAGTTAAGTACAAGTTGTTTTATTAACCATTTGCATATAATTTAGATGTCGTTATTAACTTTATTTTCAACGATTAGCTGCCATCTAGTGGCCAGCTACTTTCTTATTTATCGGTGACAAAAAACTTTTTCTAACTGCTTCGTTTACTCCACGAGAGTTTAAAATTTTGTTTCAACATTTTTATGAAGAATTATTTGTCAGTTTTTGTTACCGTTGTTTTTATTTTCCAGCACATATCTCTTCGTTCGTTCTCCTTGGTAACAACATTGCTTGGCACGCACTTGAGTGGCTACGCGTTGCTGCTGCTACCTCTCTATCCCTCTACCTCTCTATCCCTCTACCTCTCTGTCCTTCTACCTCTCTGTCCCTTTACCTCTCTACCTCTACACTCAATAACAAATATTTAAACATAAATACGTATAAGTAAAGTAAAAATGAACACATGCACAACAGGACGCAATCGATCGCACATTAACAGAGCCAACGGAGAAGGAAGTTAAGCAGAAACTAACTTCTTACACCATTTTTATAATTTTGATTTGCAAGCATCAAGCGACCGTAAATTTACACTTCTGCTTCTCACTGAACAGAAAAGTCACGTGCTCAGTTTAAAAGGAAACAATCGTCTTACAAACGTCTTGCGTCAACTATAAAACTTTCCATCCCCTTCATTTCTTCCATTTTCTGCAACTTTTGTTTTTTTTAATTTACAACGAAAATTCAAATAATGTAAAATTGCAGATATCTGTTTCATAACATTTCTAAACTTTGTGAATTTTGGATGACGCAATTATAAATCAGCAAATTTTTTGTAAACTTTTGAAGATGAAAGCTCGCCAGCATGGCAACAACTCAGAAGCACGTGAACCTAATTGACAGCACTTGCATAATAATTATGAATAATAATTATTGCATTCATGTGCAGCACTTGCAAACATTCTTCGAACCTCACGTGCACTTGAAAAATATTCCACTTGCATACGGACAGCCGATGTTACGTGGCGTGGAAACTGATGGGGCGCATGGTGCAGTGAATCTGATGGTGGGATGAATTGAGTGATGAAATGACTTGAATGGATAGATAGATTGAATGAGTGAAAGAAAGAATTGAATGAACGAATGAAATGAACGATAGAAGGAATTGGAATGATTTTTGAACCTACCATGCTTACATGACCATCAATTTGACCAGCCTGCTGAATTCCTCTGATGATTTTTCATTCTTTTTTACGCGCCACTACTCACGCGGTGTTCATTCATCCAGTAGGAATGATTGAAGATTGTTTGTCTTATTTGCTTTCGTTTGTTTTTGTTTTTGTTTGTTTTTTTTCTTTTTTTAGGTATGTTTGTTTACTGTTTACATTCACGAGTTGACTTTGTGTAGCGATGTTGTTTGTTATTTATCTTCTGATGTTTTTTTCATTTTGTTGTTGTTTGTGCTTTTGATGTTGTTTCATTTTTATAAATATTTTGTTTTTGTCAACGTGCTTATCACTATCATTGAAAATGTACTGAACAAACAACTATCATCTCTGAGTTAATAAAGCGAACTCGAGTCAAAACTTCATTCTTTCAAATTTGATCTGGTTAATTTCATGAAGTTTACAGAAATTTTTTGCGGTGGTCGGTGGATAAAGACGCTCGTGAATCCAATAATTTTTTCTCATCTAAAAAATGCAGATAAAATTGGTTGAGCAATTTGCGACGGGATTATTAGCGTTTCATCAAAGCTCTGCTGAAATTATCTAAATGATTGGCCATCCTGTTCATCAACAACATCATCGTGCAGTTCTTCCACAACACTAGCAAGTCTGGAAACAACACCAACCACAAAAATCACCGACAACAATACATCATTGACGTTGATATTGACAAATAAATTCATGAATATCTATCATATAACATGCACATGTGTTGAAATGATGCCAGCTTGCGTTTCAAATTGTGTCCACGTGTGTTCAACAGGATGTGTGGTTTTATGATGTGTGCGCGTGTGTGTGTGTTTAGGTGTGTGTAAATATTTGTGGTGTGTGTGTGTGTGTGTGTGAGTAAATATGTTGTATTTATGTGCATTGCCTATATGGAGGTACGTTACAATTTGTTGTGTGTTTGTGCTAAGTGCATGCGTGTGTGTGTGTGTGTGTTATTGGGTATTTTTGCCGATATTTAAAGTTTAGAATTAAAAATTTTAAAAAATACTTCAGAAATAAAAATGTAAAATAATAGAAATTAAATATGAATAAAAATCATCCAGATATGCAATCAAGCACATTGAAATGGCGTTGAATTGAAAAATTTTCTAAGAAAAAAAAATGAAAACTTGTAAATTTTTAAACATTACAAACAATATTATAATCTGCCTAAGTCAAGCAACTCATTTAAAAGTATTTCAAATAGGAAATCTGTTTTCAAATAACAGCAATTACATGTTCAAATAAATGAATGAATAAATAAATATTGTATATAAATAATAAGCTAACTGCAAATTTATTATTATTATTATTACAAATTTTATTATTATTGATGTAATTAAACAAAATCGCGAAAGATAACAAAAACAGTCTTCACAATATTCATGAAAACATCAGACCAAGTAAATTGCGATCATGTATTGGTAACAACTACTCTAAGGTAGTGCATATCAGCTAAAAAGTAACGGTCAGAAAATGTGGCCACGACCAAACAAGTAAACAACAGTAATAATAACAACACATTTTGGGAACCAGACTGGACACAATCTTTGCCATGTGGTTGTTGGGGCTGGTGTTGTGTGGTTGATGTTGTGTGGTTGTTGTGGTTGGTGTCCTGTGGTTGGTGTTGTGTGGATGTTGTGGTTGGCGTTTTGTGGTTGATGTCGTGTGGTTGTTGAAGTTGGTGTCTTGTGGTTGATGTCGTGTGGTTGTTGAGGTTGGAGTCCTGTGGTTGATGTTGTGTGGTTGTTGTGGTTGGCGTTTTGTGGTCAATGTCGTGTGGTTGTTGAGGTTAGTGTCCTGTGGTCGATGTCATGTGGTTGTTGTGGTAGGTGTTCTGCGGTCGATGTTGTGTTATGATTTGCACCCATGTTGAAGTTTTGAAAATTAACATCCACAACCATCAGTTATTCGCATGCTTGTAGAGCACAGACTGAACCTTCATTCATTAACGTCAGATGTAAAAATCATTTCCACCATGAAATGAACTGCCAAAAGCAAGCCACACAACTTAATTTTGCATTTCTTTTGAAGGATGATGTTTGTGTTTATATTTCGATTAGATGTGTAACTGCTACATCTTTTCATATTAGACATCGAGCATCAAAATAATTAAAAATCTCAAAACTTTGCTTATCACCTAGTCTGAAATTTTGTTTAAGTTTTTAAAATAGTGAAAAAAATTTTGTAAAACTTTAATAAATAAATTAAATAATGAAATAAAATTAACACACCTACTTCTCCCCACAGACATCATCTGCACCTCTGAGACGCTCACTCTCACCTGCCAGGTCGATCGTCAGGTCATCATCGTCCGCAGGGCTCTCTACGGCAGGATGGAGCCTGGAAAGTAACTCAACACCTTTTAGATTTTTTAAATTTGGAAAAAATATTCTTTAAATTGCTATTAAAAAATTTTTTCTAAACAAATTAGTGAACTAGTGAACATCCATTAATTTGAACGGCACAAACACGGCACACACATTCCCCCACCCTAACGCAATGAATGCAGGTGCATCACCTCTGAGTATGCACACGCCATGGGATGCTACGCTGACGTGACGACACACGTGCAAGATCTCTGCAGTGGTCAGAGCCACTGCAGTCTCATGGTCGCCTCCATCGACGCCATCGCTCAACCGTGTGGCAAGGACTTCAAGTCCTACCTTGATATCGAACACGAGTGCGTCAGAGGTTCGTGTGTTTGTTCCTCTGTTGCTTGGATGTGGCGAAGAAATTTGTTCGTTTCTTGGTGTGTGTATTTGTAATAAATATTCTTTTGTTTCAAGATGCAAATGATCAGGGTGTTGTGTGTAATTTCAGGTGCCGTATTTCAGGGAAATTTAGAAACGTTTTTCGGATTTGCATGCTAATTTGACTGAAGTTAAATAGAACTATTCCATGTAAAAGATGCATCACTTTATTAAGCCTGCCATGGTCGGTGCAGTAACGATTTCCAATATTATCGATGACTGTTACGGGCATGAAGTAAAGATGTTGGTTTTTTTGAAAGTGAGTTTGCACTGCGTTGCTTCAAATCTGGTTGTTGTGACGGTGACACACACGTCGTGGTCTGGTCAGCACTTGTCCTCTGTCGTGTCCCAACCATATAACTTCATTCTCCATCCAAGATTATTGTCTTGGATGGAGAATGAATGAATGCTTCTCGTGCGCTTGCAAGTTGAAAATAATTTAAAAGTAATTAGTAATAACATTATTTGGCATCCGAGGCATAAACGCATAAAACAGAAAAATTCATTATAAGGATTTATGAATTTCTTCCTCTATGTACAGTTGATCATGTTCTCATAGTAGTTTTTTTTAAATATTGCTTGTGAAATCACGTATATGAAAAATTTTAATACTTCAAAATGTTTATGTGAAAATGTAATTGAAATTAAAAAAAATCAAATGTTCTTAAACGTGAAAAATATTTCATGTAGTATTTCAAAATTATAAATTACTGCAGCAGGAAAAACAGTTTCATTGGTTTTTATAGCAGAGGCGGTATTGGTTCTATTGGTTTGGTAGTAATTGAAATATAGTTGGTATCGATGATAACTGTTAAAGTAATAAAATTACTACTTAATGTAATGCTGGTGGTATTGGTAGTAATTGTAATAGCAATTGTGCTGGAAGTAATCGAGCAGTAGCGATGCTGGCAGTTGTTTTCATTATTAATGTTTTATTGAAAGAAAGTACTGAAGCGTATAAGAGGCAATTGTTATTAGTCCGGCTGTTATGTTGGCTCCGCTTCTTTGTTTCTTTCTTACGCTGCCCCACTCTGCTGCATGTTCAGTTCATGTTTGCTGGGCATGGTCAGTGCAGTGGTACTGCTCAAGTGTACTTCACCGTACTTGCAAAAATAATAAAAAATATTTTAAAATAAAATGTTGTTGGAGTTTAATTAGAATCATAAAATTAGGTAACGAACCAATATTTCTTCATTTAATTAGCCGTTTAGACTGGCTCGCTGATGGCCATCCTCACACCATGACTTACAATACCTTGCAAATGCGCATACAAATTTCTTCAACTTTGTGGTGAATTTAAAATTTTTGCCTTTGGGTGTTTATTGGGAGGCACGTATCAAATTACACTTCCTGGAAAATTTCTTACATTTAAACAAGGAATGATTGTCTCAGCTTCATCATCATCATTAACCTCGTCAACATCATCATCAACCTCATCAACATCATCATCAACATCTTCAACATCATCATCAGCATTTATCTCATTGTCACAAATAATACCGATACAAGGTTATCGTTATCAAAATTATCATCATCACAAATAATTTTATCATCATCAACATCATCATCATCAACATCATCATCATCAACATTTTCTTCTTCATCATCATCATCATGAACAAAAACAACAGATCGTCATCAACGTCATCATTCATCATCATTATCATCATCATCATCAACAACAAAAACAACAAATCATCATCAACGTCGTGTCACCATCATCATCGTCATAAGCAGCAACATTGTAATTGTTGACGTCATCATGATGAACACTAATAACAATAGTACCATCATTAACATCACCACCATTATTATCATCAACATCATTATTATCATCTACGTGATCATAATCACTGTCATCATCATACCCATCATCAACAACAACAACAACATCATCATCAACATCGTTATCATCAACATAACCATAATCACTGTCATCATCATCATCACCATCGTCATCAACAGCAACAACATCATTTTCCTCAACAACATTATCATCAACATCATTATCATCAACATAATCATAATCACTGTCACCACCATCATCAACAACAACAACGACATCATCATCTGCATCACCATCGGTCAATAGGTAAACGTTCAATTTCTGTTATAATGAGAATTTATTTGCCGATGACGATACTGTTACATATGCGATATCCATTGGCGTTCTCATCGTCATCACTCTCTCTCTCTCTCTCTCTTTTCATCTCTTTTTTTCTTTCATTCCCTCTCCCACTTCTTCCTCTCTCTCCACTCTTCTTCTTTCTCTGTTTCTCTCTCTCTCTCTCTCTCTCTCTCTCTCTCTCTCTCTCCCTATTTTTCTTCATTTCAAAATAACAACCCAAATACGTGCGACGCATTGGTATAACGGTAAAGTGCCTGACACTGCTTTTGCAGTGACAGGCTTCGAATGCTAGAAGCTCCGCGTCTCCTATTACATGCAATGTGTCTGAAGCATTGCTTTACCGTCTATTAACTTGAAATGTGCGTCTGCTGTTCATGTCTCTTGGTCTATAAAATAAACAAACAATTTAAAACTAAAAAACAAGCAAACAATAAAATAAACAAATAACATAATCATCATCATCATCGTCATCATCATCGTCATCGTTGTCATCATTGTTGCCATCGGGTTTTCAACATCATTAAAATCTTCAACGCGGATTCAACCGACGCCCAAAATGCTTCGAAGCATCACCTTATCTCAACAATCAACAAAATGCAAACAAACCAACAAATTAGAAACAACAACAACAACAATAGACAACAAAAATTACAGAATCAGTAAAAACAACACCATCAACAACAACATCATCATTGTCAACAGCAACAACAACATCAACAACTACATCAACAACAACAAAAACGCAGAAAATCAGAGTATAGCAACAAAACAACTTGAACATTGAATACATATAACTCCTCGTTACGTTTGCTTTTGTTCTACTCTCTCTTTCATTCTTCTTCTTCTTAATGTTCGCTCAATTTTCAGATATAGAGAGAAAGTTGTTGTTGTTGGCAAATTTTTTGTCGTTGTTGTCATATTTGTTAATGTGATGGTTGTTGTTTTAATTGTTGTTGTAGCAGTTGTTTTAGTTAATATTATTTTATTGTTGTGGAAAGTTTTTGTTGCGATCTACAGTAAAGTTGATGTTGTTGTGATCGGTGGTGTAGTTGTCATATTTTAATGCTGTTGTTTGCTGTTATTGTCATGGTGAGATTGATGCCATGGTAAAATATTGTTGTTGTTGTTGTTGGTTGTTTTAGAATGATGTTTAATAAATATTCCTTTCAATCGCGTTACGTTGTTTGCATCTGCATCAACGCTGTTGTTGCTGGTGGCTGGTTGCTGTTGTTGCTGGTTGCTGGTTGTTGTTGTGGTGGTTGCTGTTGTGGTAGTTGCTGTTGTGCTGATGAGTGTTGTGATGGTTGTTGGTCTGTGTTGCGTTAATTTTGTTGTTTGTTTGTTTAGTTTGTTGGTACGTTCTTTGACAGGCAGAGGTTTTTATCATTATTGTTCAGTACCGTATTTATAACAAACGACAACATTATTCAACGACAAACAAATCAACACTGTCTGCTGCAACAAACAAACAAACAAACAAAAGAACCCACCTACAAACAAACATACAAACGAAGGGACCCCCCAACAACAAACAAACAAACAAGTATACATACAAACATACAAACAAACATACATACAAACATACATACAAACATACAAACAAGCATACATACAAACAAACATACAAACAAACAACGCTACAACTAAGATCATTAGCATTGCCTTCACGGCATTATTAATATTACGACCGTTACTCTCACACAGCTACTACCATTGCCAGTAAATCCTTCATGTATGTCGATGTACAATGCCGATGAAAAATGGTTGTAGTGAAGATATCATTAACTGTTATTGATACAGAAGTTGAAAATGATGATATGATGATATGATGATATGATGGTAATGTTATGATAGATAAATGATGATGATAATAATGATGATGATGAGGACGATGAAACTGGCTATGATGATGATGATACCCAAAAAAATTGAAAATGATGATGATGATTACGTTGTTGTTGTTGATGATGATGATGATGATGACGAAGACGACGACGATGAGAATGATAATGATGATGACAATATTCTGGATATAATGAAAAATCTGATAATAATAAAAACGCAAACGACTTTGTTTTTAAAATTTTTAATGATCAATCCTCTGGTTTTATGTGACAGTAAAGTTAATGACGCAGCAGTTATAAGCGTTGTTATTACAGGGTCCTTACTGAAACTGCTCTTCTTCTCGTTGCGAATGTTTCTGTGACGTTGAAAAATATTCCTCGTCACGTTGTCACTATGAGAACTTTCGTCATTAAATGCTTTTCTTTGTAAATGTCAGTTAATGAAATATTTTCATTCCCATCAACATACAGCGACAGTAAGTAATTTTTTTTCATTCTGGCATCGTAACTTGCGGCATTGTTTTGTTTCAGCCGGGCCATCATTTACTCCCACATACGCACGATAACAAATATCATTCCAGCAATAAATAAACATAATGGAAGTGTGGTCGGCAGCGAGTCGGTGTGTGTAACAGTCGTGCCTGGAGGTCTTGCGCTCTTACTAAAAGAAGTTGCGCACTGACCCTGTTCGAATGCGTGTTACGTCAAACTTTAGAGAGGCCCCCATATGTCATTGGAGAGTTGGTGAGGCTGGCAAGTGCGTGCAATGAGATGGAGTGGAGTGCGTCTGTAGCGTGTCGTGGAAGTGCAAGTTATTTCAAGAACCACATCGTCCACCTCTCCATATTTTCAGGACTATGCAAATCGAACGTAATGCAGGCAGGATGTTTTATGCCGACACGTAAATTGAATAATTTAACTTAATATAACAAATGCAACAATACAAAGAATGATTATCAATGCAACAACAAAAAATATTTGAAAATATTTCAAATTACGCAAAAAATATATTTTGGTTTTTAGAAGGCAAATTTAACACCATCTTAAAATACACTCGTCCTTGCATAACCAACACGTCTTTGTCATAAAAAGTTTAAAAATATGAATAAAATAAATGATTGATTGATCAATGGGAAGAAATAATTTGTATTTACAAAAAATACGAAAAACAAGCACTTTCATAGGTTGCTGTGATTTGAGCAATTCGTAATGTGAGCCACCTAGCAATTGACCATGACGATGATGACGACGATGATGACGACCATGTGATGTTGACTACCTTGCCAACCATGATGACCAACTACAAATCTGCAAAATTTTTGGTTGCAAATCAATTATTTTTTATTCAAATTTTATTGTGTGAAATTATTTTTTTAAATTTTCTAAATGCATTTTCAGTTACGTTTGGTTAAATATCAAAATTCGGTACCTTCGCCGTTCAAATTTTTGTTTATAAACTAATAATTAACATACTAATTTCTGCATAACTCCTATTTAAACTTATTTTAATAGATGACAAAATTAATAAACATTTTTTTTAATAAAAATATTTTTCAAATTTACAATTTGAAAAATTACTCTACAATTTGAAGCATTTTCTGCAATTAAAAAACGGTGTTCTAAGTTCCGCGTTGGTTTTACGACTCGCCTTGAAGAAAATAAACCCTAAACTAATCATGTAACCAGTAGTGACCAAAATAATTTTTAATTTTTTAGTACTGTTAATAGTAAAAATTACAAATACTATTTCTATTTTCATTACTCAACTACGTTTCATCAAACTTGCTTCAAACTTCTCACTCGGCATGTTCGTCCTCATCATTTTTCAATGTGGCCATGCATGTCGTAGCGGTTTCTCTGCTTCTTGGATTTTGATTTTTTTAAGAATATAATAAAAAAATAATAAAATAATAAAACAAAAATAAAAATACTCACTCCTGAACAATAAAGATCTTGCAATCACAATCACCACGATCAATTAATTATTATGTAATAATAATGATAATAATAAAAAGGTTAGTGGTAATAATAATTGTAGTAATAATGGAAACTCTTTTATTTTAACCAAAGTCGTTAAAATTAAGAAAGTAATTAAAAATGTAATTATGTTCAACAAAACCATAATGATCCTTATCTAGGGCAAGTGCAAAACGGTAACGTATTCAATGAGGTTATGAAGTGTTCCTATCGACATAAATGGCATAAGTCTATCTAAACACAGAGTCTATTAATTTGTTAATAAATGAATTTGGCCATGAATTTTTAATTAGCGTCAAAGTTAAAATATTGAAAAAGCCAATTGGAGTTATTTCAAATGTTTTTAAAAAAATTAAACAGTTTTCAGTCAGCGTTCAGACAGAAATTCAAACTATTTTTGTATTTCGATAGTTTGTAGTTTCTTGATTTTAGCAGATTCGTTTCATGGCACACAGTTAAATCAATAGTTTCAATTTGCGGTTGCGCAGAATGGCGACGTCTGGACGTCTGGAGTTGAACAGTTGCTATATTGGTTGAACCCCCTCCGACTCGATATCTGCGAATATCAGGCAATCCTCTTGGCAACATGTCTTTAACCAATTAACGATCTCAGATGGAATTTTATTATAACGTTCTTTATCAGCAATCGATCCACAGTTGAACAGAACATGTTTGATAGTTTGCTTCGCGCCGCACAGAGGACATAGAGAATCTTGTGTCTTTTCCCATCTGAACAGATTGGCGTTGGCTGGCAATTGCTGAATAATATATTTTCCAGCAAGTTTGTAAAGAGTTTCTGAGATTGTATCTAATTCTGTAGACTAATGGGATATTTGAAATAAGGATATTACCTCGGTCACCGATTTGACCAGGAAAGCCTGACTCTGCAGCGGCACCACATGATTCTAGCAGGCAGTTACCCGGTCAACCTCTTTAACGACTGAGTTGTTGTGTCTGCATCTGAAAGCAAGCTATATAATAATAATAACAATTAATTTCTCATTGATTCTATAATATTAAATATGGTAACAGTGATAATAATAATATTATTATTAAAAATATTAACAACAACAATATGATTACAACAATAGTAATAACAACAACAACATCAATAATAATACTACTACAAATAATAATAGTAATAAAAATAACATAAAAAATGATACGTGATGGTAGCACAAGCACGTTAACTTTTGATGTTCGTAGTTATGAATTGCAGATTATAATGTCGTAAGGACTGTCAGTGTTGCTAGCCATGAATTATATGTGTGGCGATGAATGAGTGAGTGTGTGAGTGAGTGAGTAAATAAGTAAGTGAGTGAGTGAGTTAGTGAGTGAATGAGTGAGTAAGTAAGTGAGTGAGTAAATAAATGAGTGAGTTGGTGCGTGAGTGAGTGATATTATTAACATTAAGAGATGCAATTTGTAGAAAATGTTGACGATAATTTCGCCCAACCGTTCGATAATATTTGACACTGTTGTTACACTGCACCGTTGTCATAGCGGAGCAGGTATGTTAAGCAAGCAGCAGATATACACGAATGCCAAGAATGTAAAAATGGGCGGAGAACGTAGAACAAATATTGCGATCGTAAATCAAAATAACACAACATTGGCAAATATGGAGAGAGTGTATGTTCACTTTATACACATCCACTCTTTCGCTTTTGTTTGCTTGGCAACTTATCATGCCTCAATTGATAGCAGGGTGATGACTCGATATTGACGATGCTAATTGACGGAGCGACAACAATGTGGTTGCCGTCAGAACATTTTGCCAGTTGCACTCATCATCCATCGTTGTGTTCTTTTGGTTTGGAAAAGGAAATTTAATGAAACAGTAAATAAATAACACTATCTTGATGGAAGGAATGTTACCAAACATTCATAAGAACAGTTAGTGACAATGAGTTGTTCACAACTATTTATTAGTTTTGCAATCATTGTTTCGTGATTTTTTTTTGATTTCATGATGCAATTTTGACAAAAGTTGCTGCCAAACCTTCTTAAACTCAAATAATGATGAATTCAAAATTCGTGCAACATAGTCCACAGCATCCACACCATCACCCACGTACGTACAAGAATATCTTCCATGCAAGTGCAAACATGACGTCATCATCACCAAATCATCATTTTGTTTGAAAGCCGTTGAGTTATTAGCAGACAAATTTTAGACCAAATCGGTTTCATCATTTCAGCCAAACCGAACGACTACAACAAAAGTTATTGCCATTATCATTATTATTATTGTTATTATACTTTTTATTATTATAGTTGTTGTTGTTGTTATTGTTTTTTTTAATATTAATTCTTTAAATAAGCATTTTACGCATTTTCCCAACTAAAAAAATGTGTTATCAACATTCAGAAAGAAATTTTATCAATTTTTTTACAATGCCGTCCAAATGTAAACTGAATAACTATGATAAAACTTTCAACAAATTAAAAATAAGCTCACTTTCCTTATATCATTCCAGTCTTATAGCATCATATCACGTTTGGTTCTGGGCGATTTTTTAAACAATTTTTTCTAAGATGTTTATTGGCATGCGTTTGTGGAGTTTGTTGACTCGATCCAGAGATGGCTCGTTGATGAGACTATCACGATAGCATTGCGTCGGGTTTATCAAAAATAAAATCATCAAAAATATGATACTATCTGGTCGATATGCTATCATGACAGAATGATAGCGTTTTGTAAATATCTGGTAGAATATTTATTTCATCACAACTATCAGTTAAAGCCGAAAAATGTGACAGTTTAAATATCTAATAGTATCCTATTCTTAAAACATTCGTAATAATCATAACAGAAAAAGTCTGCATAATCACCATTTCTACTCTTTCAACCTCATCTACCATCAACATTATCATCATCATTGTTATTATCATTGTTACCATCAACGTGATCTTCCTCATCTTCTTCTTCGGCATCATGTTGGTCATCATCAAAATCATTGTTATCATCCTCACCATCATCATCTTCACCACCATCATCATATTCATCATCGTCATTATCTTCTTCGTTTTCATCATCATCATCATCATAAACGTGAAAATGACAGCATGTGCAGAGTATATGTGGTGATAAGATGAGTGTAGTTACAACAATGAGGTTGATGATGATGATGATGAAAATGCCGATGATGATGATGAAGATGATGATGACGACGATGTTGATTTAGAAAACAAATGAATGCGGAAGTATAGCATGATAAGTTATGGTGACAATGATGAAAAAGTTAATTTTGATATAAATGTTCTAACATTCGATAATTTTAATAAGTATGAAGAGATAGAATGCAATAATACTAATTAGTTTAATTTTTTCAATTATATTCAACAGAATAAATTGTTTTCATTTTCTTAAAAAAATTTTCTTGAAAATTTCTTTCTAAATTTAATTAATCGTAGAATGTAACATTTTTTCAATAACAAATATTACAGTACTTCATTTTATTTGATTTTACTCCCACATTTATTTTAAAAAACAGAATAATCATGAACATAAATATAGTTATTTTTATAAATCCTATAAATCTGCAAATGACTCACCCAACGAATTGTTCTGCCAGTGAGCTGATCACATTTGAATCGATGTGCTAACAATTTATGCATCCCCTCAAAAATTCCCTCTCTACTTTTTTCTTTTTATTATTTTTTCTATTCCTTCATAGTCCACAGAAACTTCTTTCGTTTATTGACCATACAATTTTTTCTCCTTCAATCTTCTTCTCCGCTACTTTCAGCCTGCGGACAAATTTTTGTTTCAGCGAAGATGTGTGATGTATTATTAACGCTACTTTCGGTTTTATTAATGCTTTCTATATAACATTTGAAGCAATTTCAAAATTATTTTATAAAATTTGCCAAGTTGTGCAAAAAAGTTTTTAACGTTTTATTGGTTTTAACGTTAACAAAAAAATTATAACATTTGTTTGTTTATTAGCATTGTTGAAACTTTCACATAAAATTTTTGCTGTTGAGCTTATAATTTTTAAAAGATTTCTTTGAGTTTTTGAAACTGTTGAAACAAAACTTTGTTTGTTCATAAAATTTTTGCTTCTTAAAATTTTGTTGTCAATAATATTCATTGTGGAGAATGCTAAACTTTTTGTGAGTATTAAATATCTCCTTAGGTTTTAACAATAGCAAACGCATATTTAAAAATTTTGTTTCATTTGTAACTTTTATTAAAACTATTTAATAAAATTAAAAAAACAACTAACTTAATACAATGTTTGAGAGTTTACAAAATAAATTTATCATTTTATTAAAACCTTTCACGAAAACCAACATCTGGGAATTATTATTCTGTAATAAATACTCCCATTCCCGTTCCCCAGGGAAACAAAACATTCCCGTTTTTTGTCGACATTTTCACTCAAAATTCACATTTTGTTATGACTTCAAGCAACGCAAACAGCAGCGGACTCAAAACTGACCCCGAGTAACACACATATCAAGCGAGGACCAATTGTTGAACCCAACCTGCTGCCGACAGGTGAATGAACTGAACTGAACTACGCTGGAACTCATAAAATAATAATAATAAAATAATATTCAGAAACTGACAATGTAAAAGCTTGGCATCAACTTTTTACATGGCTTTAAACGACAATTATAGATTTATAGATTCGATATTAAATGAAAATTATATACATATATTTTTTCAGGTATATATATATATATATATATATTGGGTTGGCATGTGAGTATGAGTGTAGATATAATTGAGACGTGTGTGTGTGTGTGTGTGTGTGTGTGTGTGTGTGTGTGTGTGTGTGTGTGTGGGTCTGTGTATTACGTATTACTTTTACTATTACTTGAACAATTTATGCTTTCATTTAATTAACTAATTTTTGGGATTTGGGTTGTGCCCCTGCGGTCATTAAATTTTCTTCTGTTCTGTTATAGAATTTTATTTATAAATAATCGATTTACCAATTTTTCCGGTTTCACTTTTCAAACGCTGAGAGACGATGAAAAGATGAATAAACAAATTAAGATAGGATCATTAAGGCACTTCAGTACATTTTTTAAAATATCAGCGGACAAAAATTAAAATTTTTAGAAGATGGGTCTAAAATGCTGTTAACCTCAGATGTTATTCTTAGGCTTAAGAGTTGACTTTTTAAGAATTCTCAACCCTCACAGTTCATGTCTGGATTGGGAGAGTTTGAAACATAACAGCAAAAAAAACAGATTTGGACATTTTGTTTAGAAAATAAATAA